TCAACTGACACAGAGGTATCTCTCTCTTCATACGAGGAAGGCCAGGGCTCTAAGCTTGTGCAGAAAGCTAAAGAGGCACCCTTTGTCCCTACTGGAATGGCAGGCTTTGCAGCTATTGTGGCATATAGCTTATACAAGCTGAAAAGTAGAGGAAATAATAAAATGTCTGTTCACCTAATCCACATGCGAATAGCAGCCCAAGGCTTTAACCCCCGGTATGGGCTATTCCATGTACCAGGAATTCTGGGAGAAACCTAAACCTTTGAAGAAGAGATGCTGTATGTGTCCTGTTGTGAAAGAGCTTGCTTTAATTAGGCATCTCATATTGAAGTTTCCTGTTGATATTAGAAATAAATGATTTGAGTGTGTTCCAGAGATAGCATGGTATTTTCAATAATGGGCTTTTAATTTTTTTCAGGCTTTATTTTTTTTATTAGGTTACCCAGGTGAGTCCTTAGTGTCACCTAAATGTACTTGGTTGGTTGTGTTCACATGTCCCTTTTTTTTGTGCAGGTACTGGGACTTGAACTCAGAACCTCTTTACATCCATTAACTTTTTTATTGTTTGTTCAAGGTTGGCACTCTTGAGCCACATTTCCATTTCCAGCTTTTTTTTTTGCTAATTAATTGGGAGATTAAGTCACTTGGATTTGTCTACTCTGGGCTGGCTTTGAACAGTGATCCTCAGATCTCAGCCTTCTGAGTAGCTGGGATTACAGGCGGGAGCCACTACATCTTCCTTTTTAAGCCCTTATGACAAAAATTGGTTTAAAAATGACAGCTTCTGGTCTGGAAGTGCTTCATCGTGTGGCAGAATATGCCGCGTGTCCACGTGTTATGTATTAATCCCAGTTAGCCCAACTCATTTTACTTGAGAAGTCCAGTTTGTAGGGTTCACTGGCTCCTGAAAAACTCTTTTTCAGCTAAGTGCATGAAATATAAACTTACAGATCTTCACAAGTGAAAGTTTTCTATTGTGTGTATATATATGCATTTTATATATTTAAACCAAACCTGAAAAGCTTTCATGAGCTAATTAGAGGAGCAGTATTTTAGGCTCACACTTGTAAATGTGAGAATAACTTTAATTATATATCCCAGATTTACTGTTTTTGAATTGCAGAATTGTATCTTTTGATGATATTGTATGAGAATCATTTTTAAAGGTCCTTGTGTGTACCAATATTGGGGTTTGAACTCAGGGCCTGGGCACTGTCCCTTAGCTTTTTCACTCAAGGCTGGTGCTCTACCACTTGAGCCACAGCTCCACTTTTGGCTTTTTGCTGGTTAATTGGAAGTAAGAGTCTTACAGATTGGCTGCCTTGGCTGGCTTTGAACCATGATCCTCACCTCTCAGGCTCTTGAATAGCTAGGATTACAGGTGTGAGCCACCAGTACCTGGCTTCAATGCCATTTTGATATAGTGTTTTTTCACTTTTTCTTTTCTTTCTCTCTCTCTCTCTCTCTCTCTCTCTCTCTCTCTCTCTATGTGTGTGTGTGTGTGTGTGTTGCTAGGAATCAGTCTAAAGCTTCAAACATATTAGGCAAGCAATCTACCATGAGCTACATCCCAGCTGAGAAACAGGTACTTTAAGAGCAAATACAAAGATAATTGTACAGTTTTTCGATGTTAAATAGGTTACTGGAAGTGGAAACAAAAGTTTGCTGAGACCTGATACACAAAGTTTGATGTGGTACAGAATGTTCTAGAACACTTGTAAAGTTCTCTCCTCTAACCTGAATTTACATTCCATGGTAATAACATGGTAAATCTATTGTTATTGACAAAGGAGACGACAACAATGCTTGATAAGAAATGTACTCATTACTTTGCTCATGTAATTGTAACCCCTCTGTACGGTATTTTCACAATAAAAAAATGGGGGAAAAAGTATTGTTATTAAAGTGAGTGAATGCTAAAGAAAAAAAAAGATGGGTTTCTTCACAGAAGTGACGAATTGGGCTAAGAAGGAAAAGGCAGTGGATGGGAGAGAAACTGGGGCTGATGCAAGAAGAATTTCCCCCATGCGTTAAGGGGGACGGAGTTTAGGAGAGGTAAAAGAGAGAGAGTGTCATGTTAATGTTTTTGGGTTTTTTTTGGCCACTATGGGGCTTGAACTCAGGACCTGGGTGCTGTCCCTGAGATTTTGTGCTCAAGGCTAGTGCTCTACCACTTTGAGCCACAGCACCATTTCTGGTGGTTAACTGGAGATAAGAGTCTCACAGACTTTCCTGTCCAGGCTGGCTTCAACTGAGATCCTTAGATCTCAGTCTCCTAAGTAGCTAGGATTACAGGCATGAGCCACTAGCACCTGACTATTAATTTTTTTCTAGGTCAGTCTGGTCTTGAATGTGCAGTCATCTTGCTTTTAGCTTTCTCTGTGTTGAGATTGCAGGAAAGACCCACAATACCTAGTTCTTAAGATACTAACACCTTGAGCTGGGAACATAGCTTATGGTAGAGCTTTTGCCTCAAAAACACAAGGCCCATACCAAGCAGTACATATTCATTCTTTTGTTTTTGTTTTGAAACAGGCTCTCGTCCCATAGTCCAGGCTGGTCTCAATCTCACTATCCTCTTACCGTGGTTTTACAAGTCGTAGAATTATAGGTATTTAACACTATACCTGGCTGAAGATATTAACCCTTAAAAAATGTAGGCCAATATTAAGAAGAAAGAGACGGGCTGGGAAGGTGGCTCAGTGGTAGAGTGCTTGCCTTGCATGCATGAGGCCCTGGGTTCGGTTCCTCAGCCCCACATAAGCAAAAAGAAAAAAAGCCAGAAGTGGCGCTGTGGCTCAAGTGGTAGAGTGCTAGCCTTGAGCTGAAGAGCTGAGGGACAGTGTCCAGGCCAAGAGTTCAAGCCCCACGACTGGACCCCCCCCCAAAAAAAAGAAGAAAGAGACATAGCCATGTGAGCCTAGCTAAATTATTTTAATGAGATTAATCATGAAATTGGTAGTATTCCAACACCATAAATCATAAACCTTCTTTACACTAGACCACTAGAGCGGAATCTACTTGCAGCAAGATGGGCAGATTTATATATCAAAAAGAAGTTCAAGGGCAATATGACTTTTGACTTAGCTTTTTCTTTTTTTGTAATGAGTTAGACATGGTGGTTCATGCCTGTAATATTAGCTACTTAGAAGACATACGTGAGGATCAAGGGTCAAAGCTAGTAACAGCAGGAAAGTCCTTGAGACTCTTATCTTCAATTAACCAGCCAAGAAATGGAAGGGGAGCTAAGGCTCAAGTGGTAGAGTACCATCCAAACACCCAGACCAAGCTCAAGACCCTCTATTGGCACAAAACAAACACAAAACAGTACAGGTACTGTTACTTTAAAAATACATGTGCATTGAAACATTTCTTTCTCTACTTAGAAAGGAAGGGTTTTATTTCTATGACCAACTGCAGTACACATGTTATTGCAAATCTGCAAACATGACAGTAAGTAGATAGTTCCATTTTGGAATAACTATGTTTGGCCTATTTTGAATTCCCATCCAATGAAATAAAGCTTATAGAAATCTCAAGTTAATGTTGATACTAGAACATGTTAACTGTGTTCCATATGAGCTTCCAACACAGTTTAATAAAACTTAGAAATGCTGTTCAGACCAATCCATTTACTAGAATGCTAAATACAATTGTGATTACATTGCTAATCACACATTATTTCCATTAGTCACATGCAATACTTATGGTATACATGCCCTGAAAAATTACTTATTGTTTATCTAAAATTCAAATCTAATGGAGCATTCTGTGTTCTGTTTTTCTAGTGTCTTCTCCCAGGAGACACTGGCCAGATCTAGAGTAATTTTTGTCATGATTGAGGTGGTGATGCTGCTAATCTAATATGATGAGGGCAGGAATGCTGCTAAACATCTTGCAAGGAACAGGGAAATTCCTTGAGTAAAGAGTTATTTGCTTCAAAATTTTTATTTTATTTTATTTGTGGGAAGGCTGAGAAATTCTCAAGGTGAAAAAGCAGAGCTCTTCAAGGTTTGTGGTAAAAATTGTATAAAATTTTGGAAGTTCATAGTGTTCGGGGTTAATAAAGAAGGTATGCAGGACTGGAGACTTTGGCTTTAAACTCCTCAGCTACTAGCTATTCAGGAGGCTGAGATCTGAGGACCGTGATTCGAAGCCAGCAGAGGCAGGAAAGTCCATGAAACTCTTACCTCTGAAGAATTTCCAAAAAGTCGAAAGTGGAGCTGTGACTCCAACAGTAGAAAGCTAGTCTTGAGCGCAAAAGCACAAGGGACAGCGCCTGAGGTCAAGTCCCAGGACTGGTGCACACACACACACACACACACACACACACACACACACCTATGCACTTATCTTCATGACGCTAAGGGGATGCAAGATGTAAGACCCCGGAGTACCTTCTGCGTGTGACCTGGCTGTGCATTGTGGACGCCAAGGAGGCCAAGCAACTTCAAGAAAGGCCTGACACAGCCTTCCACACCCCAACCGGAAGTCCCCCTGCGCCCACGGCGTCCTTTTTCCCTAGCAACGCGTCGCGGAGGAAGTAGCTGCGGCCGCGGCGCCGCCAGTGCGCCTGCGCGGAGGCGGCGCCTCCTGCTGACGTGGAGAGCGGCCCGGGTGGCTGGAGCCGGTGCGCCGTG